CCAGATAATTTTATACCCTGGAAGTTGAACTTTTTTAGCTTCACTTGCCACTCAGCAACTTTAATAGGAATGAACACCTTGAGTGCTGTATCCAGTTAACTTTATACATCCATAGTCTAAGCTGACAACAACATATTTACTTCATTGCTCCCTTGAAATTTCAGTGCCTTACTTAACAGTCTTCTATCTGAACTGGTCCACTGTCTTTGAACAGCATTTTTTTCCTGAAGCCAGCATAGTTTTTAATTCTTTGCAATGGGAGCACCGTGCATTTATACTATGCTACCAACGGCAGCAGCATGATGAGGTGCTCAGCGTCTATTCTGCGCTGAGCGCTGCATGTTAGGCTATTTTATCTGAGCGTTGAGAGTTGAGAAATGTTAAACTTTGGCTAAATGCTGCACTTGTCACTGTCACTTTTTTACCAAAGGGCAACCTCTGACGCTGAAAAATTAAGCCAATGGAGAAGGGCCAAAAATGGTAGTTGATCGAATGGCCACTTGAGGCTGGCTCCAAGACAGAGTAAATCCCCATAGACCCCAAGTTAAAATGCCCAACTTCACAGCATAAATAAACATGTTTACAGCCCGGTACAAAAACATTTTGGTCTCTATAGCTAATTTCAACATTAATGACAACTATACAGGGGCTGAATTTGTATTTAATTCACCCATTTACATTTTAACAAGGTTTGAAGTTATGCATTTTTAAGGGTGGGCCCCTTGAGTGACAGGCTGTCTGCAAAGCCTTGCTGCAGTCTATGAGTCAGATCCACTCCTCACCCCGTAACAGCTCCAACTTCTTGTCCAAATATGGTCACTTCTGTCTGCAAAAAACAAGATGGAAATGGCCAAATGCCAAACTTAAGGCTTCAAAATGGCTGTCCACGAACCGATGGGTGAAATCATGGTAGCTACGTCCATTATTTAAACAGTCAATGTTTTTTACCCAGCTGTCCAATAACAGTGGAGAACGGACTAATACCACTAAGACCATTGTATGTCTTAAATATACAAGTGCTGAGCAAAAACAATGGAAGAGACATATGTTAATATACTATATATGTTTCCTCTCATGTACCCACATAGGCCGGTGGGTCCTTCCTCTCGCCCTCCCTTAGCTACATCCAGAGCTGACATTTTTACTTCTTTTCTGTATCATAGCAACCAGGCGCAACCAAAGCGTCTCAGCTGAAAAAATGCTGTGCCTTCAAAGAGCTCTGAAATGCTCTCAGTTGGGCATTTCCTGAGGAGCGCCTGGTGTTCCACTTTGGTGGGCACGGGGTCTGAAGCAGCAACATTAACAGTGAAGCATACTCTGTTACAATATTACAGGAATATAATTGTATAAATGTGTACATGACTTTAATATTGCAGCTGGTAAAGGTGGAGCTAATTTGATTTTCTTGGCAAAAATTCATAATTGACCCTTCACTAAATGGGAAGGGTAAATTATTCCCACCCCTCTTGCTTCAATTCATCAAAAAAAATTATTATTTATATATTTTTTATTTTTTATTAGGTGGCCGACATCAAGAAATCCTACCAGGACTGTGGCAGCACAAGAACAGGCACTTAGTTCAAGATTAATAGGAGTTGGGGTCTACCAGCCCAGACAGGACGCCAATCATGATGTAGCATCGGGACGGCTCAGAACAGGGTCTGACAACAACACAGCTGTGCTCCATTGACTCCAATGCAATTGTTTCAGATTCCCTTCATTTTCAGGCTGATTTTGTGGATTTGGTGCTAAATGTTGTGCCTGGGGCACGTTGTGTATTAATGACACTCGTTACCTGGAGAGGTTGGTTAAAGATATACGTTTCTTCCCTGGTCCGAAGCTAAAATCAAACCCTGAAAAGTGTAGGGTTAGCTAGCTAGCTACTGAAGATATAGCCTACTGAATGTATACACATGCTGCTTTTGCTTTTTAATGATTATAACAGTGAAAAAAGACCAACCCTGCTGTACAGGAACCAGTGAAGGGAAGCAGGGAAACTTTGCTCATATTCAACCAGCTGTGTGTCATCGCATTGTGCGCGGATGAACATTGTTTGACTTCCCTTGGAGATCCCTGCCTCTCTGGCAGCGGAGGTCTGGGTGTTGGCAGTGACACGGGGGTGAAGCCAAACACCATTAATCACCAGTTTCCCTTTATATTCATTGTCTTGTGTGGCGATCAGCAGTGATGTGGTGGTTCACTTTTACACTGTGATATGGAGCCTATAGTTCAGCTTTAGCTTTTAACTATTTTTGTCTTTTTAACCTGTTGTTGCTGCTGAGTCAGTTTGACATTCTGGATATATCCTTCAAACACACTGTAGACCCCTCTGTCTGCTTCTCTCTGGAATCACTATTTTGTTTTCCAAAAATTTGAAAATATGTCTTTAGGGAGTGCAGTTAGTAACCGTGTGGGCTCCATGCTCCCTCTGACCACCTGACAGACTGTGGCAAAGGGGCGGGGCTTAGGATAATTTTGTTTCATTAGTAATCACCTGAAAATAAGAATTGTTTTGTTTAAATTACCTTAGAATGAGCCATTTATATCTACATATGGAATGGGTCCTCTTCCATGGAGTCCACCATGTTGTTCTACAGTAGCCCAGGAAGGACATATCAAACACTGAATCAAGATAGGGCAATTTGCATTTTTCATGTTGGCCACTGTATTCATCTACGCACTTGGCATAGGAGAGAAGTTTCAGTTCTGTAACCTCAACGTAAGATGCCACTAAATCCTACACACAGGACCTTTAGCCTATAGACCCTTTTTGTGTTTGTAACAATGATTTTGTGGGCAGAGCCAAACTAATGGCAGAAAGGGACAGTAGTGGTGCTGGTGTGAGCACCAAATAAAACGTAAAAAGCACTATAACATTTATATTTTTTATCTGATTGATGAGTTTATGATCTATGTGTGGTAGAAAGAATTTTCGTCTCCAGTTAATTAGAATCTTAATATTTAGGCTAATCACTGCTGCTCAATGCCCACTAGAGGAGTGTGTTTGGCTTATTTGAATTACTTAATTATTTACGTTATTAAAGATAAATCATCATAAGTATTGTAAAATCTCACTTTTGTCAAGCATGGATTTGGCATATTGTCCTTGATAAATAGTTGTGAAGACGTCCTCATATAATATAATTTAATGTGGCAGTACAACATATTAAGGTGCTCACTAGCTACTAGCGCACTAGCTAGCTAATGCTGTCTGCTTATTAACACCTTGATGATAACAAAGTACATTAACTTTCACCCCTTGCTCACTTTAGAAAGACCACCACAAGAAAACTTGTTCTTTGTTAATGTTAATTTATAGCCTATAATTTGCTTTTAGATCGGTTAAGCTGCACCCAGGCAGGGAAAGTGTATGGCTCGCTAACATTAGCGATGTATTAGTCTCTATATACAGACTCTACATTCAGTGAATGTAGAGTCTGTAGGCAAACCCCGGAGATCTTGCCTCCGGAAGAAGAGCGGAAGAGCCCTGGTTTCCGGTTGTAGGCTGTCTGTAGTCCGTGTGATACTGACCAATCACGTTTGAGCCGGCTGCAGTTTTTGCCAGGTTAAACGGTCCATGTGGTGAACTAACAAGGCGGAACATAATTGGCATCACTGCAAACTCTGAATCCATTGCAGTGGTTCAGCATATAAATGGAAGTTGGAAACGGAAATTCGCCTCCTCCGCCCAAATCAAACCGGAATGCCAAAAAATCGGGGGTCTGCCCCCAGAGGCTGTATCGCTGCGTGCTGGAAGTCAGATGCCAAATACAGCCAATGGGTTCCGAGAATGGCGATGTATCTAACCTAGCTGGCGTGCTACCTACGGCTGATCGCTGATACCTAGAAATAAATGATGATCCATTGTCCGTTTATTAATCTAAACAAAAACCATGTTTTCTTGTGGTGTCCTTTCTAAAGTGAGCAGTAGTGAAAGTTACTCTGTTTTGTTATGATCAAAGAGTGAATAAGCAGATCACATTAGCTAGCTAGTTAAAAAGCTGTCTGTTACTTCCATATTAAATTATATTATATGGGGACATCTCCACAAGTTTAAACCAGAGACAATATGTCAAATCCATGCTTGACAAAGGTGAGTTTTTACAAATTCTTATGATGATGGATTATCTTTCACCATTACAGTAATTCTGTTAGTGTAAGCTGAGCACACACTCCTCTGCGGAGTGTCTAGCAGCGATTATATCCTAAATATCAAGATCTTAATTAGTTGGAGGCAAAACTTTTTCTACTATGGCGTCCCCTGCACCGGTTTCTATAAAAATGAAGGTTATCTTAATCTGTATTCCTGTTCTGATATCCAATGTCACAAGAAGACATTTTTATTCAGAGCATATCAATTGTTTCTCTCCGATGTCCACTGTTTTTCTGCCACCAGTATGCACACGCAACTGCTGTAACATGAGTGATGTCCACTCAAAATTGGTCTATAATACCACAATTAATTAGTTGATTTATATTGTGGATTTATCATTTAAATAACTTGTAGCTAATGTTGGTGAAAAAACAGTGAAGCAAAAAGTCTTTACTTCTGACATGTTGTGGAGTGTAAGCATGAAGTAGAATAAAATGGAAACAGTCCAAGAGCAAGTACCTCAAAATTACAGTACAGAACTGTGAAATGTGAATTACATTGTAGCACTGTTTACATTTTAGGTCATTGGGATGGCTGGTTGTTGCTGATGCAAAGAATTTTAGTCACAAACACAAAAATAGGCAAGCCCCGCCCCGCCGTGACGTCACGGCTCACGAGTCTTTGAGGGAGGCCATGTTTACCTCCAAATAATTGAAGCAACATGAAATGAGAACATATGTTGTTATTACTCTTTAGACTTTATTTTGGATTTTGTTTCAGAGAAGACTTATCTCGATTGAACCTGAGATTATTTCTCAGTCACTTTTGCCCGTTCCCCACCCCCACCCCTCGGCGGGGTTAACAGAGCCCGCCCCCTCTCCTCTCTCTCTCCGGCTGCCTCCGCCTCTCTTCCCTGGTCTGTCATCCACACCGCTGTTGTTGCAGCCATTTTACCGTGGAGCGTCGGCACAGCGGCGACCGGAGGATGCCGAAACAGCGCCGTTAAAAGGTAATTCCTCTTTTTTGTTGGGCATTTTCATTCGCGTCGGTAACTCTCACGTTTCCGACTCAGCAAACACGTCGGATAATGTCGGCGGAGCTGAGGGCCAGGCCGGCCGGAGGGGCTGAGGGAGCCTCCACAACTAGCTGCTCAGACAGAGGAAAGATTGCTGGGAGAGTGTTTGGCGAGCAAGGCTTGTCGCTGGCAGTTCACAAGTCCGTGTGAAAAATGGCGACGTTTTTCATCAAGCCACTGAAAGTTGTAAATGATCTGTGCAGCGGTTACATGGATGTACATGCGGCCACAGTTTGAGTGTTTTGGAGAGCTGTGTTACACAAATTATACTGTCTTTTGGCGCGTTCGTAAAGGGGGCGCTCCAGAGCAACACAACGACGTAGGTTTACGCACGTTTTGTAGCCTACCCTCTGTTAGCTAGTCTGTTGTTTTTTCCTCTTTTCTAGTGGTTCTGATGGTAGTTTTTAAAAATATAGTGACACCAGTTAAGGTTTCTTTGTTCTTTACAAGTAAACACATCCTGTTTATGTTGTTAGTTTCCTTGCCGGAGTCCAGACCTCCAAATCCACCCATTCCATCAAATTGGCTGAATCGTCTGGCAATTGATCCAGTGATTGCTACTGCGGGATTAACGATTAGCCAATTAATGCCATGGTCGGTACTAGTGCAGTTGTCTAGCTGTTGTTAAATGTTGTTTAGTTGTGGATTGAGAAATATCAACAATAGTGTGATACAGGGATTACGTTTTTCTGAAGGCCAACACGGAAGTTAGCCTCGCCCTGGTTCCCTCATCAACAAAAAAAATGTTATTTTTCCATTTGATTTAGTATTATTACCCAAAATAAGCTCAGTAGCAAACACAAGTTTACGATATGTTTTGATCACCAAGATATTCTTAACAAATGAAAACCACTTTTATGTTTGTTAAAATGTAGATGCAATAGTCAGAAGTTAAAAGCTAACATTAGGATGTAAAACTACACTACATTCGCATGACTTATGGACCCTTTTACTGTTAGTAAACAGTATGACTTCTTTTGGTGGGCGGGGTTTAGCTGGAGACAAAACTATTAGGCCTGTTTCCACTGAAGAAGTTCCTGGTACTATTTGGGGGGCAGGAACTACTACAGGAACGTCCTCTCGCTCGGCCCTCTCAACCGCCGTGTCTCCACTGAGAGAGCGGAGTACGAGGAAGGTTCCTGTAAAGTTACGGGCTGCCTCTGGATGTGACTTAATTGTTGCGCTACCATTTTGACTGGGGCGACGTAGGGACTCCTTTAGCCGATAGCGGTGTCTTTAATAACTCACTAAATGGCCCGTGAAAAAAATATTTTTTCCAGTGGATGTCTTAGTTACAACATGATTGAGCTAACTGTAGTAGTTTCATGTCGTATCCGACAACGGAAGGCTTTTAACAGATGACGTCCTGATGTTAGCTTTGCTGCTGCTGTTAGCTGATGCTTTCTAGACATCGTGATTTCCCAAAACTGAATAAATACCACACATATCAACACAAAACTGCTTTGCTAGCTCAATCATGTTGTAACTAAGATATCCTCTGGAAAGAATATTTTTTTCACGGGCCATTTAGTGAGTTTTTTTTACATGGCGGCGAAAGCTATATGAATGAGCTAACCCTCGTCTGCTGAGTTTTAAAAATGCCGGCTATTTTGTTGCTTTCTGTTGACGTCACATCCCTCCTTGAGTATATCCAATCAGCACCAAGTAACCCCGAAGCCCCAGCCAGGAGTCTTTCGGGCCGTTCTAAGTACCTACCCTGAGGCAGGGACTTGTTTAGCCCCCGTAAAAGTTCCGGAACTCTGTCCTTCGGGGGTGGTTCCTGCGGTGGAGACACGCACCAACGGCCCTGGCCCCGTAAAATTACCCCGAAGTTCCTGCGGTGGAAATGGGCCTATTCTTCCCAGATATCATTTAGCGCTAGCTAGCAAGTTTTGTTGGCTTGTTTTAGACAATGGAGGAAGATGATGATGATGTTTTTGTTGACGGGCAGTGGCGGCTGTTATGTGATAAAATTTCAGTTTTGAGCTGTGACTCCTTCTTTTGCGGCTCCCAATAACACGAGACAACATTTTAAGACTTCTATGTAGCTTACAGCCCTGTGGTGGAGAGGCGTGTTTTGCCTCCAGCTAACAAACTGACGTCATTATGACATTGGCCCTAAAAGGGTCTATAAGGCTGCTTAGCCACGTTTGGTGTGATTACGTTTTGTAGTTTCATTTAGCCACTTGTTAGCAGCCACCTTTATTAAGACACCTTAAAGCTTTAAATATCACAAGTTGGATGTATACTGACATATGTATTGTTGTAGAATGAAACGTAAAAATCTCTAAAGGTTTTGTGAACCACACACCTTATTCCAGGCAGCTGGCCTCAACAAAAACCTAGCCAAAAATCTTTGGCTTCGACACGAGGGGGCCTGAAGTGCAGAGATGCTAACTAATTTCCGCGTTTTAGGGCTCATTTCAACAGCACTCCGACCGCCATAGACAACATAGATGCTGCTGTGAAGGCTATTCCAAATTTAAAGTCTGGGTAGAGCAAAAATACATGTCTTGAGTTTGTCGCGTCTCAGAAAAATGTATTTAATGACCCAGACAAATTTGAATAATTTTGGAAAATTGCCAAATATATAAAATCAGGTTTTTAAATCATGAAAAATCTAGCAGGATTTGCTCTGAGACACTGGGGGCGTGTCTGCTGAAGCCAAAGAACAAACTGCTGCACAGCGACAGACACTCCTCCAGGAGCTAACAGCAGCTAACGTTAGCACAAAGCACACACCCACAGCAGTGAGTGGTAACTGCTGGGCTGGGTAGCTGAATTTGGCTTAAAGATTGACAGATACATTTGTGATGGCTATTTTGTGTGCGTTTATGACTGCGGCATTTAACAGAGTTGTTTAATGTAGCTATTACACTGAAACAGCTAATGGCTTAGCGGCTATGAAAGCGTGTCGCACGTAGCTAAGCTGCCACTGCCACTCAGGGGATCAAAGGGATATAGTGGGGTAGGGGTTATGCCAAGGATGGCGTGTGTCATCAAGCCATGATTTCAATCCCGCTAAAAATTTCTGGACATGAAAACAGTGTTTTAACAGTGTAAATGGTCCAACTATTCAATGCTTTGTAGTTAAGCCTAAGTAGGCCTGTTTTCTAACACTTATAATGTGATTCGAAAAATCAAATGTTATTTTTCCCAGACTTAAGCTTATCATCTCAGTATTGCGCAACATAGTTGTTTGTTTTTTACTTTATCCACTCCGCTATTATAACCCCGGCAAAACCAGTATGTTGTAGACTTCGATGGTATCTATTACCCTCCCGGAATGTCACCAGGCTGTATGATTTATGACACTAAACCTTGCTTTGTGCTGCAAGCACTCACAAAATGTCACAAAGGGGAATTTTCTTGCACTTATTTTCCTTAAGAGAGAATACAGCTGTACACCTTCTGATTTCAAGTTTCTCTGTGACCAATTTGAGACCAGCTTATTTGCCTTGTTACGTCTTTATACAACACACCTCAATCAAAATGAAACTCACCAAAACGACTTGGTTGGTCTCATTAGTCATTTAGTTAGTCCACTGTCCCAGCAATCACCAACGCTGGTTTGGTTAAGATAAACCTTTAAATTGCAGGGTTAGATTTAGAAATAAGCTATTTTTCCTTGTGGTGTCTCTGCTCTTTATCCACTGCTGCAGACTGCCTGTTTACTGTTATCCCCACCTTATCCCCACCTCTGGCAGTCAGCTCTACTGCCTGTTGCACCAGACTGACCTCTGGTGGCACCTGATGTGTACTACATACAAAACATCCTCAATACAGACCCTCCAGCATGAGGTTAATAGAAAAGATTAGCGTCTGTATTTTTATGGTATTATAATCAAATTGTCCAGATTTCTAAATACCCTGGAATGTGGTGATACCGCCCGCAGTCTATTGTTTACACATGGCTGCACATCAACGTCAACTTAAAACAGTGTGAGTTTCAGACATGTAATGAGTTGACAGTTCTGTTTGATATTAGGAAGTGTTGTCAGTTTTTTTGAGAGCCATGTGACAGACTAGTGCTTTCATGTTCCTTGCTAGTCTAGTTGTTCGTCAGTGAGCCTCTGACACAGTCTCTTTTGCTAGGCTACTTCCTGCTCTGATCTGACTTAAAAACAGGTTTCCTTTTTACAAACATTCCAGGATGTTTGCTCAGCATGGAGGTAGAAAACACGTTGCCACAATGTAATGATAATAAATTATACTGAATTTCACTATTTAGAAATAAAGGAACTTGTCGGAAATTAGTCAGATAATGTTTTAAGGTAATTTGTTGCAGTGCTTCTAGCTCGCTAACATGGCACATATTCCAGTGAGAGGTAGCAGCTAGTAGCAAACGATAAACTATCCACCACCTTCATGTACTTAACACTGGTTTATAAAATTGCAAAAACTTCCAGAGTCTGAAATCCTTTGTTATCTCAGTTTATGATGATGTTTAGGATTTTTGGAATTATAGAAACATTTTTATGGTTCTGCGCCAGTGTTAGCCGAGGCCTGAGGCATTGTGTTTTCAGGTTCTTTGTACGTAGGTACATCCCATCATTGTGAACAGGATATCTCAAGAACACAACAAGGGAATGTCTTCAGATTTGGCACAAATGACCACTTTGGCTCAACGATAAACTGATTTGATTTTGGTGGTCATAGGTCAAAGGTCATTGTGACCATGTCTGTCTCATTCTTGTGAACATGATCTCGAGAACACCTTGAGGGAATTTCTTAAAATTTGGCACAAAGATTGATGTGGACTCAGTGATGAACTGATTAGATATTGGTGGTCATGATTCAAAAGTCAAGGTTGCTGTGACCTTGCATCTATCTCATTCCTGTGAACGCGATACCTCAAGACCACCTTAAAGGAATTTCTTTAAATTTTGCACGAACATTCACTTGGACTCAGTGATGAACTGATTAGATTTAGG